GTTAAATCTGTTAAAATTTGGGAAGAATGTGTACATGTGTGTATACACACACACACACATATATATATATATATTTTCAGTTATTTTTATTAGTTGGAGGCTAATTACTTTACAATATTGTAGTGGTTTTTGCCATACATTGACATGAATCAGCCATGGATTTACATGTATTCCCCATCCTGATCCCCNTGTGTGTGTGTGCTTTTATTTTTTAATTTTTTTTCAGTTATTTTTATTAGTTGGAGGCTAATTACTTTACAATATTGTAGTGGTTTTTGCCATACATTGACATGAATCAGCCATGGATTTACATGTATTCCCCATCTTGATACCCCCTTCTGAAAGATACACATATATTTTTATATCCATACATTTTAGGGGGATGGATTGATGTATTCATATGTTTTAGTGTTCTATTTGTATATCTCATTCCAGTTATTAGATTATCTTAAATACTGTATATTTGTGAAGAAGTTTGATATTTGTGCCTTTTACATCTAATTATCTAATATATTCAGTTTTTGTTACATTATGAGCTCCATATAGTAGGGAATTGTCTTGTCCTCAGTATATACTCAGGTCTTATAGCTGTGCCTGACTAATATGAGGGGCTTATGTGAATGTATGTTTTAACATTTTGGCACTTTAGTTAAGTTTCTAATAATTTTTCAAGTAGTTGATGATTTTGCCTCTTTCATGGTATTCCTTAGGAGTAGGCATCCTTTCCCTTTTATTATGGTAACTTAAATAACTTCCTGAGGAGCTAAGTCTTGCTCATTTAGAATACTGTCTTCCTTTGCTGGGCTTTTATGTTAAGAAAATACAATGCCGACCAGAAAAGATTTATTGAGACTCCTAAAGATTAGGCAGGAATAATACCGACTGGAATGACTAAATAGAAGATAAAAATCTACCATTTTAAAAGTAATAAAATGCTTGATTTTATCTTCTGTCAGAAAATATGGACATAAGGAAAATTAATGGCTATTAATATTAAGAAAACATTAGGTGCTTTACTAATAGACCCTAATTTCACTTACAAAATTCACTTCTATGAAAGGTCAGAGAGTGCCCAGCTTTTCTGAAGACCTATTTAATTTAATGACTTTCAGAAACACACACTGTGGATAAAGATAATAATGGAGCCCATAAAATTTCATGCTTTAGTTTTTAGGTAATTGCTTGTTAAATTAAGAAGGTATTTTTTCCAGACATGGGTCTATCCCTGTCTTTTTTTGGTTAAGAATATAATGAAAGTTTGCATCTAATATAGTTGTGTGGCATTTTTACCATCTGACAATTATCCCAATATTAACTGTAGTGGGTTAAAGCCTGGTGGGCTGCCGTCCATGGGGTCACACAGAGTTGGACACGACTGATGTGACTTAGCAGCAGCAGCAAACTAATTTATTTCTAACCATTTGAAGAGAATGCAATAGTTGGTAATTGTAGTTATCAAAAATCACTCTGATTCAAGTTTACATGTGAAGAAAATATACAACAAAGATGGCCTACTTTGATTGGTGCATGGAAACCAGAAAATGTTTATATGGTAACTTTTGCCAAATTATGGAAACAATAACTCAATAAATCTGTTAAATGGTCATTATTTTACTGGGAGCATTCAGTTAAAAATAACTTTTTAGAGTACACTGTTAAATTACATTTATATGTTAAACATGGAGTTTTGGGGACAGTGCTTTTTTAGTGTGAAAAATATTAGTATCTTGCTATTTTTTATTTTATTTACATATTTTGATTTGCTGCTTTCCTGAAATGGATAAGTTAAATAGTTATTCTGTGATCTCATTAAGAAAAAGCATTTAAGTAGTGTGTTCTTTATGAACAAATCTAAATAGAATGTTTCACTGAATATCAAGTTCATTGTACTTGAAATAGAATTTCTATATTTTGTATCTGTCTTAAGAAAACTTTTTTTAAACACAAAGATTCTCTACTAATATAATGAAAAAAATACAAGATAGTTTAAATATTTATTGCATATGTGATTATTTCAAACTTTTCTTTTTAGTACAACTTCTATTTTTCTTTTATTAGCAGCTGGGCAGTAGAAAGTTCATAATAGGAGAAGCATCACCATGAAATGAATTTAAATTGTTTTACTGAGTAGACTTCATTTTTGCAAACAGAAAGCAAGTCTCTGAAAACCAATTTAATGGTCAGAAAAGCTTTAAGGTCTAATACTTCAATCAGTTCCTATGCTTTCTTTCCTGGGATGAGTACAATAGGACTTAAAATGTGTATTTAAAAATGCTACGCATTTGTGGTTCTGCCCAAGAAACTTTCAGCATTATTTTTCTGTTTTTTTTTAAACCTATTATGGGTTTACATTTAGATAAGATAAAAATGTATAAGCTCATTAAGTAATAAATTAAGTGGTTGAAAAAAGACAGCTTTTAGTAGACTCAAATTAGATGTTTATAAAGTTTAAATTCTTTTATAAAGATATACAGTGTTACTAATAATCATATATCTTGATATTTTTTATTCATTAGAGCATATTTAACAACTGGCATACCCCCATTTTAGGTAGATAAATGTAGCTATTAGAGGAATTGAATATATCTGTTCTACTATACTAAATAATAAATAATATCATGGTAATAGTGTTAATGATTACAGAAATATTTATTGAATATTTTTTATGTGTTGTATAGCATATAAGACATTTTACACACTTTTCTTTAAAAGGAATGGGAATTCAGGTGATGTTCTTGTGCTTTCAAAACAAAATGTCAACTCAGCCATTTATGTTTTCCAGTCACTCTACTTAAACTCTCTCCTCCTTTTCACTCACCACTCTACTCAGTATTAGGCACATTTTAGTGGCAGAGAAATTCTCCATTTGTTTTTTTTTTTTTCCCCATCTTCACTTACATATACACACAGAGTTAAAACCTGGAAAGAATAAATTATTTATTTAATAGTTGGACTATTCCACAGATGATATTTCAAGTCTGAATATTTTAATCAGCATTTGCCTGTATGCCTTTAAGATTGTTGGCATGGAAATGAAGTTGAGGGTCAGATGGTTAGACCATGAAGTACTGTGACACATTGTCTATTTACGTGTGATCAAAACTATAACATTGACAGCAAAATGAAGAATAATACAGGTAATTCCTAATCAGTGGGAGATGGTGGGGACAAAGAAGGAAACATAGAAGAATGGAAAAGATGCTTTCACCATATTCTGTGTGTGGCTTGATCTTGCAGTGAGAAGTCTTATTAATCATAATAATATGTGCCATCACAAGTCTGAAAACCTAAACTCATACCACCACTCTGGCAGCTTCCCAGTCCCCATTCCTCAATGATTGTTCTGACACAGGTCCTAAAGAAGAAATCTATGGCACCCATTTATTTCATATGAATCTGAATTTTGAAATATGAGAGGTAGTTTCCATTCTGAACCTTTTGTGAGCTGTCAGTACTCTAATTCAGTCCATCCATTTTTTAGAATGTGAGAATCTCAATGCAGGAGCACTTTGTCAGTTAACTAAGACTTTTAGATAACTACTTTTCTATTATAAATTATACTTTACACTGTTATATTGAAATTGACTTATACTATAGTGGTGGATGAAACATTTCCATTAATTTTCTTCACATATGACTTGGGCTTAGAAAGAATACTCTTGCTTTATGCCAGGAATCTGCAGAAGATACATCTAGTTAAAGAATGCTTCTGTGTCACAGTACTGACATTGGAGACTTTTCTCATTAAGTTACCAGTTATTCATAATATGTAATATGATCTGCAGGTGGTGTAGACTTTTCACATGCCTTAACAGAATGAAATCTTGATTTTTCTAGAATTTATATGCTTTTTCTTTTTTTACAATTATCAGAACTAAGCAACCCACTTAACCATGTATTTAAAGAAGTTCAGAATTAAATTTGGTTAAGTCTTTTAGTTCATTTGTAATTATTTTGAATTATTCTATTTTGTATACATTTCAATTTTGTAAATATATTGTCTTTGAAAATAGATGGATTGTAAGTTATTGTGGAAAAATACCTTTAATTTTCTTTATTTAAATGAAATATGAATGACTGATATTTTTGAAACTACAGGTTTTAGCTTGTTCATCCCCCATCCTTATATATGTTATGTTGGTAGGGATATTTCAATGAAAATTATAGTGAAATTTTTTATTTTAAATTATTTTTTGAATCATGCAGTACTGGATTCAGTTCAGTTCAGTCGCTAAGTCATGTCCGACTCTTTGTGACCCCATGAATTGCAGCATGCCAGGCCTCCCTGTCCATCACCAACTCCCAGAGTTCACCCAAACCCATGTCCATTGAGTTGGTGATGCCATCCAACCATCTCATCCTCTGTCGTCCCCTTCTCCTCCTGCCCTCAATCATCAGGTCTTTTCACATCATCAGGGTCTTTTCAAATGAGTCAGTTCTTCACATCAGGTGGCCAAAGTATTGGAGTTTCAGCTTCATCAGTCCCACCAATGAACACCCAGGACTGGTCTCCTTTAGGATGGACTGGTTGGATCTCCTTGCAGTCCAAGGGAGAGAAGTTCAAAAGCACCAATTCAGTGCTCAGTTTTCTTTATAGACCAACTCTCACATCCATACATGACCACTGGAAAAACTATAGCCTTGACTAGATGGACTTTTGTTGACAAAGTAATGTCTCTGCTTTTTAATATGCTGTCTAGGTTGGTCATAACTTTCCTTCCAAGGAGCAAGTGTCTTTTACTTTCATGGCTGCAATCACCATCTGCAGTGATTTTGGAGCCCAGAGAAAATAAACTCTGACACTGTTTCCACTGTTTCCCCATCTATTTGCCATGAAGTGATGGGACCGGATGCCATGATCTTAGTTTTCTGAATGCTGAGCTTTAAGCCATCTTTTTCACTCTCTTCTTTCACTTTCATACTGGATTAGAACTGATAAATATTTTTTCAGAAAAGAATAGCAGTGAATTTTAAGGTGGTTGTTATTTTTGTTTTTACAGCAAGGCTAGAGAAGATTTGCTGAAAACTCAGAAAGAACGTGATTTTCATCGAATGCACCACAAGAGAATAGTCCAGGAGAAAAACAAATTAATTAATGACCTCAAAAGGTAAGCTGCCGATATTTGTTGGCATATTTATTAAACAATTATTTAATTAGTTTTAAGTAATTTGGCCATAGAAGGATGTTCCAGGTGAAGTTATTCACTGAATATTTATTGAACATTTACTATGTGCCAGGCTCTATATCATGTGTTTGAAATAGAAAGATGAACAAATTTAGCGCCTTGCTCTTAGGATTCCTGGGGATTATTAAGGTGTGTGATGGGGGAGTAGCTAAGCAGAAATACAGTGACATATACTGTATTGTTGCTATGCCAGTGAAGAAGTTGTCACCCCAGTCAGATTGGCGAGTGAGAGGATTCAGGGACCTATATCTAAAGGAAATGAATTATAAAGTATGAGTTAACAGAGTGAAAGTGTGGGGTCAGCATGCTGTGCAAAGGCACCAGGTCATTGGAAGAACATGACAATATTCACCAAATTCTTAAGCATGGAGAGTAAAGTGCAGAAGCACCTGACCACCCCTGACCACCTTCCCCTCAAAATAAAAATTTCTAATCTCTAAGTAAAATTCTCCTTTGCTTCTTGTAAGGCAGCGCTGCCCAATGGCACTTCCTGTTATGTTATTAATAATTTATGTCCCATATGGTAGTCACTAGTCACATCCTCTACTAAGCACTTTCAAAGTGGCTGGTGCAACTGCTGTATTAGATTTCTGATGTTTATTTAATTGTAATTAAGTTAAGCTTAAATTTAAATAGTCACATTTGAACAACATGACTTTGGGCTGGTCATGATAACTGCTGTATTTTGTAGTGGTTATGGTCATTGTGACTGTTATGATTTCTTAATCATAGGCTGTCCTGTGGAGCTTCAGAATCAGTATACTTTCAACTTAGCAGTATGTTAGAAATTAGCATTTTTCTGATTTTTCCTAATTGAATCCCTGTAGAAATAGATACTACTTTAATAAGAGAAAAACTGCATTAACTTGGGGGAAAAAAAAAAAGACCTTGAGCGTGTGAGAGTGTTTCTTCATTGACTTACTCTATTCTTTTGGTCTCATATATTGGCCTTATTTTTTTTGTCTTTTTGGTTCATAAAATTGTTCCAATTCCATAAAAATTCAGAAAAAAAATGAAATAGTTTGTTTTCCTCTTACAAAACATCCTCTTAACAAAACTATGATTGAGAAGTAGTACAATGTAATGAAAAAAGCTTGGATTTTGAAATCAAATAAACATTGGAAGCCTGGCTCCACCACTTAAATTTGTGTGCTCATTTAATTCTGTTTCTTATCTGTGAAAACTGTGATGATAAAAGTACCTAATACAATGTCTATAACAAAATAGATAGCATAATATTCAATAAACACATTGTAGAATATGTATACAAAGGAATAAAATACTTAACTTTCTTAATATGAGGTTATTCATACCTGTTTTCAAGACCATCCTTAATTTTGATGTGAATAACACTCTATTTAATCATCCATTGTTTGTAGCCCTTGTGTTGTTGAAAATTGCCTTTGAATTAAATAAGCTGAAATTTTCTTTTCTGTCAGTGAATGGCAGTGACTTCTGGGTACATGCTTGAATAGAGCAAAAGGAAATAGAGAACTAGCCAACGCAAGAGAACGGTGACTGTCCCACCTCCAGCCAGGTTGCTGGGAAGCTGCATGACAAATAATACTTCTTATACTTCTTGGCTTTGTTATGTTGACCTTTATCTGGTTTTCACTTTTCACTCAAATGCAAAAAAATAGGAGAAAAGAGGTTGAGAATGTTAAGTGGAAATCACTGATTTAGCTCAATTACCCTTTATGATGCCCTTTATTTTCCATAGATTGAAGTTACATTATGCATCATATGAACCAGCTATAAGAGTATTACATGAAAAGCACCATGCTTTACTGAAGCAGAAAATGCTGACCTCTTTGGAAAGGGACAGAGCAATAGGACAGGTAAAGAGACCGTCCAAGCTACCTGAAAATGATATTTAACCATTTATTTTTTTATAACATTATCAGAAATATTGGTTTTTGTTTCTGAGTTAAATTTTAAATGATTTTCACCAATTGTCATGTTGTAAAAAAGATTCAGTTGGAAAAATCCAGGAAAATATTTTATCCACTTTAAAAATACAAAGATTATTATTGAATTAAAATTACTTAATTCAAATATAGCTTTTTAGGAGATTATTAAAATATTGTTAGAGGGAAAATCTGAGCCATTAAAACATAACAATACTTAGATTGGGTTTTAAATGCCATTTATGATGGCTGTAAACCTGGACCTTACCTAACCACTTTAAACTCAGATTTTTCATGCATAACGTATAGCCATAATGACCTATCTTTTAATATTTTTGTGAAACTTAGATGAGATGATGAATGGAGAGTCCATGCAATTTCCTCCTAAATGAATATTTGAAACACCTAGTTCCTGACTCAATTTTCAGTCATTTCGCTACTGACATCCCTTTTCTTCCTGCAGGACTTTTGTATAGGCCTCACCCTAGGGTGGTAGAGTGGGGGCTAGCGAGTATAGAGTTCGAGAATAATAAAACGGAGTGTGTCTCGGTCATGGGGACAATATGTAACAGTTGATTAGAAAATACAAAACTGCTACTATGCTTAGCTTTCTTTTATTTTTTCTGGAGATACTGATTTTTGGCCAGACTTTTAGAAGCTATAGAAGTTTGCGCAATGGTTGCAAAAGCATGAATGATTTTATTAAGGCATACATTAATCAAATGTACATTGTCTTTTCTTGAGTGTAATTTTTAGTTACTAAAATGAGAACATCACTTGTCTCCTTCTTTGTGCTTGAAATTTAATTGTGTGTTCTTGACTGTATGAATTAATGGTAATATTGCCTAAAAAGAGTTTAATAATAGTTTGCAATTTTATGACACTATATTGTCAAATCTTCACAACTTCACCTCTTTGCTCCTTTTCATCTAACCTGTTCCCACAGCCTCCTAACAGGAGGCACATTTCCATTGCCAGGAACACTATGAGCTAGATGCAGGTTGCTCCTGCTGCTTTTCCTGCCACAAACCAACTTAGACTTTTCCTACCATCTTCCTCTCCTTTCCCTGCTGTTTTCATGCTCATCTTCCTATTACTCTTCTCCTAGAGGAGCTCATCAGTGACCTGGCCATATATTCCCAAGTGACCATGTGTGTTTAGTAGGACAGACCACTCATACTAAGTTTCACTACTCAAGGGTATCAGGGCCTTCTAGCGTTCATGATGGCAAGTGCCTCCACTCCCCTCCAGATTGTCGATTTCTCCATCTGCCACCTGTGTCTATCACTGGATCTTCCAGTCAATGTCTTTGTGATCAGAGATAAGTTAACTTCCTAAATGGCCATCAGTTCCACTGTCTTTAATATGAAGTTAGATCAAAGGCCATATTGAGACATATTTAGGCCATATACAGTCTTGGGGTCTCAAAATGTTCACCACTGGTGTAGTTAAGCTCAAGATGAGGAGTGGTAGCAGTCAGTCCTAGCTGTGCTGCAAAGTAGCCATGTGGACATTCAGGTAATTTTATATATATGTCTCTTTTCTTACACATTAAGCAAAGGTAAAATTACTTGCCTTGTGATTGATATGTATCTAAAATAAAAACATGTTTAAAAAATGAAAATCTTTTTCAGATTTTCATTTCAGATTTTCAGAAAAATTCTCTCTGTGAGGAAGGGTTGAATTTTACACATCAGATGTGTAAAGAACTGTATCTTTATTATCTACAACTTATTTTGTCTTTGAACTGCTATTCCCACCAAAGGTGAAATAAAACATAACCTGCTATTAAAAACAATCCAGTTTCTTTGAATTTAACATAGGGTATTTGGATGTTACATTAACTGATTATTAGGTAAAGCATAACAATCAGTGTTAATTTTCTGTCTTCAAATAGCCTTCTCTTCTCACCTTCAGATGACACCTTGTACAAGGGGCATTTTTGCATCCACTGGCCCACAGTCTGCATGTGTCCTCTTGGCCATCACCTTCTAGCGTGGTGCTGCTGGTTTGGTCATGTTCCTTGTGCTTAGGTACATGGTTCTGGGTGATTCTTTTGAGTGTGAACCTAATATAACTTGCTTATTCTATGGCTTCTGCCACAGCATCCATAAGATCCTTAACATCTCTGACCTCATTGACCCATCTCTAATTCATTGTCGTTTCCTTGAAAGTGAAGTGAAAGAAAAAGTTGCTCAGTCTTTATGACCCCATGGACCATACAGTCCATGGATTCTCCAGGAGACCTTCCCAACCATTTTCATTTTCTTAAAAAACTTATCTTAATGACCATTTAGCTTACTGCGTTTTCTCAAATACTTTACTTAAAAAAGGGTTAGATTGTAGAATTTTTAATGCTTTATAGTTTGTATATAAAAGAGTGAAAGTATACTGTGAGATGACAAAAATCTAATAAGTATGTGTTTCCAAATTCTTTTGATAGATAATAAACAATGTGGTCACTTTTAAATTTATTTAAATCTTGTGGAAACATCTGTAATTTAATTATTTTCAGCTTTACAAAATTCTCCCAAATGTCCAAAATTTGGAATTAGAGCCCCATTTTTGAAAAAAGATAAAATAAAATTTATTTTTAGTATATGTATATACATATATATATATACACACACAAAAGTGATCAAGGAGATTCTTCACGGAAGGAATGGATCAGTCAGAAAATGCATTTACAGGCTTGTTAGAAATGAAACGAAAAAGATAAAATAAAATTTATTTTTAGTATATGTATATACATATATATATATACACACACACACACATATATATATATATATATATAATAAATTACATGTTATCTTTTTTGGATCATGGGGTTCAAAACAGGAAATTTTCTAAAAATATCTATCTATCTATCTATCTATCTATCTATCTATCTACATGTATTTCTAGGTCTATCTGTTGAGAGGATCTAGAAATAATGACATTGCAGTTTCTAATACTATTCTCCTGTAAGAGGAAGTGGTGCTTCTTGAACAAGTGACTGATAGCAGTCTGGGCGAAGCAAATACAAGATGAGCCTGGGTGAGCATTTGAGGCACCTTGTTGTGCTAGAAAGTAGGAGATGTTCATAAAGTAAAAAACAAAACAAAGAAAGAAGGAAGGATTAACTGCTACTCAGTGACAGTAGAAAAATATGTGTATCTGTATGTAATTAAACATGATTTTTTTGTTGGTATAATCATATGAGGGATGAAACAGCTTTTTAAGGTTGAATTTTTAATTTAAATCTAGTGTTCAAGAGATATAGGTAAATGGAATGCCACCAAACTGACAAATGTTCTTAATTATAAAATAAATGTAATAAAACAAGGAGTGTTTGTGGGTGGAAAATGAGCTAAGAGTTTTTAAGATAGCAACAGTCTCTTCATATTTTACTTCCCAACAAATATTTACCTCATCTTTTCGTGGATATGAAGATGAATTAGGCTATTGTGAAGCAATTTCAACAGAGGAGAAAACTCCAAGTAGAGACCTGAATAATTATTATTAAAAGTATGTGGCAAGTATTCTTGGTTCAGGAAACTATGCTGTGAAATAAATGTTTCAAATGTTTACCTGTAATAGATACTTAATTCTTGCTGTGAACTTGAATTTAGACTTTAAATTATGTTTCTTTTATTGCAATTAATATTTAGATTTTTAAAATACATAGGAATTAATGCAAGAGAGATAATATTTCCTATATTTTTTAAGCAGTATTTAAGCATTTTAACCCATTTTGGAGTTATTTAGCATATAACCTCTTACCTTTGGACTTTACTTTTTAGATTTCTGGACTTAAAGAAACACTGAAGCATATGGAAATAAGGCATAGTTACCATGCTCCTGAATTTAGAGGTAAAATTCAAATATGAAAAAAACTAATTTATTATTGCTTGGTGATTTCTCAGTCTTGTCATAACTCAAGTTATTCATTTGTATTCACCATGAGTTGAATACATGGTATGGTAATTTTCATAAACTAAAATGTTAATGAAAAGATCAAGAAGAAATACAGAATAGGAAATTGTATAAATTATTTTTAGAGAAAAATTGGGGTAAACTGTTTTTTTTTTTTACTGCTTCTGCTTTTGGCCCTGATGGAGTATCTTGTACCAGACTAGCCTTCTCCTCATAAATAACTGTAAAACTATATTTGAGGCAACTATTTTTAGGCATTGGAAAGCATCACAAGTCACAGAATGCAAATGATAGAGGGAAAATTTATAAGTTGAACTTCATTATCACCATGGCTGTTTGGGAAAATTTCCAAACCAAACTCTATGGAGCTGGAGGTAGAGAAGAGCATGGCAGTCCTATATGAACTGAAAAGGCAAAAACTATAGTTCATAAGTTGTTGAAGCATCTAGAATCTGTAGGAAAGGGTACCAGATAAGAGGGTGCTGTAGTGAATAGTGGCCTGGTTTATGAAGGCATTTACTATGAGTAGTTAGGTAATGGCTGGGCGAGGTATGCAGGACTACCTGATACTTGCCAGAGAGAGAAGACTCCAGGATTAAGAGGAGATGAGTGGTCTATATTTCTGCTTTGTGTCAGTACCATACTGTTTTGATTACTGTAGCTTTGTAGTATACTCTGAAATCATGGAGCTTGATTCCTTTGCTCTTTTTTTCCCCAAAATTGCTTTGGCTGTTCTAGAGATTGTCGTACTGAGTTAAGTCAGTCAGACAGAGAAAGACAAGTATTATATTATAAATCTTATATGTGGAATCTAAAAATATGGTACAAATAAACTTATCTATAAAATAAAAAGAAGAGTTATGGATGTAGAAAGCAAACTTATGGTTACCAGGGGGTAAGAAGGGGGAGGAATAATTGGGAGATTGGGACTGACATACATGCGTTCAGTTTGGTTCAGTTCAGTCGCTCAGTCGTGGCTGACTCTTTGCGACCCCATGAATTGCAGCACGCCAGCCCTCCCTGTCCATCACCAACTCCCAGAGTTTACTCAAACTCATGCCCAGGAGTCAGTGATGCCATCCAGCCATCTTATCCTCTGTCGTCCCCTTATCCTCCTGCCCCCAATCCCTTCCAGCATCAGGGTCTTTTCCAATGAGTCAACTCTTCACATGAGGTGGCCAAAATATTGGAGTTTCAGCTTCAGCATCAGTATTTCCAATGAACACCCAGCATCAGTATTTCCAATTAGGATGGACTGGTTGAATCTCCTTGCAGTCCAAGGGACTCTCAAGAGTCTTTTCCAACACCACAGTTCAAAAGCATCAATTTTTCAGCGCTTAGATTTCTTCACAGTCCAACTCTCACATCCATACATGACTATTGGAAAAACCATAGCCTTAACCAGATGGACCTTTGTTGGCAAAGTAATGTCTCTGCTTTTTAATACGCTATCTAGGTTGGTTATAACTTTCCTTCCAAGGAGTAAGCGTCTTTTAATTTCGTGGCTGCAGTCACTATCTGCAGTGATTTTGGAGCACAGAAAAATGAAGTCTGACACTGTTTCCACTGTCTCCCTATCTATTTCCCATGAGGTGATGGGACCAGATGCCATGATCTTAGTTTAATGAATGTTAAGCTTTAAGCCAACTTTTTCACTCTCCTCTTTCACTTTCATCAAGAGGCTCTTTCCTTCTTCTTCACTCTCTGCCATAAGGGTGGTGTCATCTGCAAATCTGAGGTTATTGATATTTCTCCCGGCAATCTTGATTCCAGCTTGTGTTTCTTCCAGTCCAGCATTTCTCATGATATACTCTGCATATAAGTTAAATAAGCAGGGTGACTATATACAGCCTTGACGTACTCATTTTCCTATTTGGAACCAGTCTGTTGTTCCATGTCCAGTTCTAACTGTTGCTTCCTGACCTGCATACAGGTTTCTCAAGAGGCAGGTCAGGTGGTCTGGTATNAAGGTACAGCTACCAAAACAACAAACAACAAACAGAAAATTTATATTTATTATTTCATGACACTTTCTTGCTACTCTAGTGTAATCTGTAGACCTCAGGTTAAAGCTACCTGTGTCTTGACCTCATCTCATTCAGTCAGTTTATTAATTCAACAAACACTGACCACTTATCAGTAGTTGAATACATGGATGGGATCCAGAAAAGAAATATAGAAGACTTTACCTTGAGGAACTCAGTGTACTGAATAAAACAGTCATGGATAGAAAAAATCTATATAATACAACACAATGTACAATCTGATAAATTTATAAACAAAATTCTTTGAGTATAGAAAAAAGAAAGTAAAGCTGCAGAAAAGCTTCACAGAGGAGAATGGAAACTGTGAGAAAAACGATGTAAACAACATGGGATACTAAGGTCAATGTGAAAAAACATCTGTGTATAAAGAGTTTATTTTGTGATTAGAGCATGAAGTGATCTAATTTTTAAATGACACATTAAGAAATCTTATAGTTTTGCTGAGGGAAATAGGATCAATAGAGATTTTGAAGGTGAAAGGGAAAAAAAGTTTTTAAACATTAAAACAATGAATAATATGCTTAACTTATCAACAAATAATTTAGAAAATAAAGAAGAAACACAAAACAGAAAAAATAACTATACCCATTCTACTACCAATATATAACTTGCAGATACTCTGTGCTAACATTTACGGTATGTTCTATTGCAGAATATACTTATAACATTCCATTCCAACATCACTCCTTTGAAGTTGCAATGTGGACTTATATATATGCTCTTTGTATTTTATGCATGCAAGTAATGATGTATTTTAATGTTCATTGACATAGAAGGATGTTGCTTAATGTTGATTAATGCTAAATTTGAAAAAGGGATTTTATATGTAAAACATTTAATGATTAGAAAATATAAACCCAATAAAAGCATTAATAATAAAAATATAATAAAGTCATGGAATAAGTCAGTAATTAAATTATATAGATAGATCAATAATATATAACAAAGAATCAATAAATGTACCCGAGACATGACACTGAATGTGGAAAGGAGAGCAGATTATTCAAAAAATGTTACTGAGACAAGGTACTTATAAGGAAAATAGGCAAAATTTTATGCCTACTCAACTACTTACATAAAATGACATCCAGGTGGATCAGAGAGGTAATCAACAAAACAAAATATGTGGTATTGTTGGGTTCGCTGATAATACACAAGTATTTAATGACCATAGATGGAAAATGCTTCCAAGTATGACACAAAACTAAAACATCAGAAAATAATAGATTGCTAAATTGCATACATCTTTAATTTTTTTAATTTAGAAATGCACTAAATGCACTAAAGAAGAAGAATAAATAAAAATCCCAAAAATGCTTGTAACACAAGGCACAAAAATATGGTTAATTTTCAAAAGAACACATGCCTACGAGTGATTTATGTGCTTCTATATACTTAAATTAATTTTTTAATAATTATTTTATTTCAACATGCTTACATCTAGCAAAAAGAATCAGAGTTCTAGCATGATATCTGCAAAACTAGTTTACTCAGTTAAAGTGATTGGTTTTGTAATTCTATTTCTTGTGACTATATGGGTTATATGATGCCAAAGGACCAAACAGATCTGAAAAAATATATATATATATATTTTAAGAATGCTGAAAAACTGCAAAGTGTCATTTTGGATATACTAACAATTTAATGGATATTGTTAGGGTGGTCAATTTAATTTTCTGACTTGCCTAGCAATTGGTAAAATATCCAGACTCAATATGTTATGCCCGATGTCCGAATCCCCGAGCGGGAAGAGAGAAAGCTACCAAGAGACAATGCAAAACGCAAGAAGGAAGTTTATTGCTAGCTCGAGCTAGGGCCCCCGCTGTGTCCAACGCAGTGGCGCACAGGCTGAGAGCCCCGAGCCCGGTTTTTCTACCCATATTTATAGGCCATCCAATTTCAAACATAAGCAGGGGTCAATTAGCGAAGCGGATTGGTTACATGTTCGCGCGCGCGGGACTTTTCCGAAAACAAGTTCTGATTGGCTGTATCTGGGTGGCCTGATAATCGTCCTAGTTGCCAGAGGAGGGTCTTTCCCTTCCCGCCTCTGTCTCCTATCATGGCGTTATGTTTGCTCTTCCTACATTCCGTTTGTTCTTCTTACAGCTTCAGTCATGTCCGACCCTGTGTGACCCCATAGATGGCAGCCCACCAGGCTCCCCCTGTCCCTGGGATTCACCAGGCAAGAACACTGGAGTGGTTTCCTACAATACTAGACAGTCTTTAAAAATCATGCAGGTTCATAACACTGTATTTGAGGCAGTGATCAAAACCATGCCCAGGAAAAAAAAATGCAAAATGATTGTCTGAGGAGGCCCTACAAATAGCTGAGAAAAGAAGCGAAGGGAAAGGCAGAGGAGAAAAGGAAGGATATATGCATCTGAATGCAGATTTCTAAAGAACAGCAGGAGAGATAAGAAAGCCTAAGTGAACAATGAAAAGAAATAGAGGAAAACAATAGAATGGGAAAGACTAGAGCACTCTTCAAGTAAATTAGATATAACAAGGGAACATTTCATGCAAAGATGGGAACAATAAAAGACAGAAATGGTGTGGACCTAACAGAAGCAAAAATAAGAAGAGGTGGCAAGAATACAGAGAAGAACTATAGAAAATAGATCTTAATAACCCATATAACCATGATGGTGTGATCACTCAGCTAGAGCCAGACATGCTGGAGTGTCAAATCAAATGGACCTTAGGAAGCATCACTATAAACAAAGATAGTGGAGGTGATGGAATTACAGCTGAGCTATTTCAAATCATAAAATATGATGCTGTGAAAATGCTGCACTCAATATGCCAGCAAATTTGGAAAACTCAGCAGTGGCAAGAGGACTGGAAAAGATCAGTTTTCATTACAATTCCAAAAAAAGGCAATGCCAAAGAATG